ACCTATGCCAGCTCTATGCCTCAGAAGGTAAAAGTAGTTAATAATTTGTATCGGAGCTAAATGGCGTAGGTCCAAATAGTGGCTTATATAGTTACATAGTTAGCTATATAACTCTCTTAGGAAACATGCTGCAGAGGGCTGGAATAAGATAATGGACCTGAAGTCATTCAGGGCCCAGTAAATGTCTGTGTTAGGTTGCTGTCAGTCCACAGTTACTAGCTTTGTTCACGGTGGCACTGCCATCCCAAGCTAAGGAAGGGCTTTGGGTAAAGGACCTTTGACAAAGGACATGTAATCCAGTAATCCAGTTTCCTGATGATGTCGGAGGTTACAGTACAGGTTTTAGATGATTCTATCCCTTGATGTGATTGTGGTTCAAATGTCTGGGCACAGTAAAGGAAAATTTTACTTGGCTTATCCTGGGAAGACTGTAGAAAGGAGCTTGGTGTTACACACACACACACACACACACACACACACACACACACACACACACACACCCCAAAACCTTTTTAGGCTTCTGTTCCTGTTACTAACCACTTAATATTGAAATTCATTTGTTTTGTCTTTCTGAAGACAGACGAACCAAGTTTTAAAATTCTTTATTTGGGTTTTAGAGAAAGAACAGGTATTGCATTATAAAGACTTATTTGAGAGTATGAAATAGTCCATGGCCATTATTTATTGTAAACTGACATAATCATTAAAGGAGAGAACAATACATCTTTCTTGCATTTCTTAAACACATGGTAAGACAGGTTCTCATGTAGCCCAGGTTGACCCTGAACTCCTGATCCTCCAACCTCTACCTCCCAAGTGCTAGGATTCAAGGCATACTCCACCATTCCTGGAATATGTGGTGCTGGTGAAGGAACTCATGGTGGCAGACATTCTAAGCAAGCCCTCTTCCATCGGAGCTGCTTACCCATCTCCCACACACTTAGATGATCATGGATACTGTGCTACTGGCCTTGGTAGAACTTTATTACCATGACGAGGGAAAAAAAAAAAAGTCTAGAATCTCAAAGTAGAGTGCTTCATAGCTTTCATCGTCTCCTGAAACCTGACATCTACTCAGAGGCTAGAGCTGATAATTAAGATAGTTCAATCCATGCATACTTGCTGTGAAGTTAATCTGCTAGTTCAATCAGGATTAGCATACTGGGGAATATGCCACACTTCCTGGTTTATTTAACTACAGTCACCAAGTCGACTAAGGACAGAAAAAAGTGCATCAGTGTGGTATTTGTTGACCTTGACAAAGGACTCATTTACTCTTTTGCTCTTGAACCCAATAGAAGCAGGTCTCTTCATGCACTAAATCTGCAATGCTTACAGTTAGTGGAACACAGGGTCATTCTGTGACACCAGCTAGCCATGACAGTACTCAGTAAATTTCCTAATCACACAGGTTTATCAATCTTTTTTTTTTCATAGATTCTATGTATACCTGACAGATATAGTTGCTGAAAGTTCTAGTAATATCCAAAATAAACTATGTTTTAAGCTTAATTATTAAAAATATAAGCTAATAGAGTACTAATAGAATTTTCTTAAGCAGGAGAAAACTGTATTTCTTCTATGTGCATAGTTCCTTTTGGACTCTGGTGATATCTTCATAGGTAGTGCAGTAGTTACTTAAAAATTACCCATAATTCCTGTAATGGGGACCGGGGAGGAATACCCCCCTTGGAGTGCTATTAGGGAATGACAACATCTTCATTTCATTATCTTCCTTCTAGGCTTTACTTTTTTGGCTAAAATGATGACATATTGTGTTCATATTATCAGGAAAAAGTCATTACTTATGTAAGTTAAAATGGCCTACAAGTGATGAAAAGACCACATGGGTAAAGAATATGGGTCTGTAGATGGCAATAAGCTTCTATCAATTGTGGAAATAAGCAGAGTGCTTGGGAGGTTGATTCCTGTGATGGAGGGAGCTATAGTATGAAATTGTCTCACTTGGATGTTCAGGCCTGTGCACCTACTGAGGGGAAGCAGTGGGCCACTTGGGCTAAGGTGGGAAGAATGCTTTCCTAGGTGGGCACTTCTATGAGCTCAGGCTAAGGGGGCCATGGGATCAGACCCTGGCTGCTTCTAATATGCTACTGAAGCCGAGGCTGGACCTGAAAGTTTTCAATGTGGGAGGAAGTGAACACAAGTCCCAGTTTGGTTCCGTAGTATATTTCTGTCACATTTCAGAGTAAAATGGTGAGACTAAAATACAGTCTTGGAGTTGTGAAATTGTGGGAGTTCTCTCATGTCAAATGTTCTAGTCACAGCAGCCATGTCTAAAAGCATCTTGCTACTGTGATTACTGAATATTTGTCTAGGACAGAGATTTGGGCTGATAGGATTGAACCAGGTCAGTGTCTCTTTAGATACGAGAGAAAAATCAGTTTGAATCCCAAGCTCCTTCTCTGTTTTTAAGTAACAGTTTTTGGGAAAATTTTATGAGTGACTCACATGGTGCTGTCACTTGTAAGTACATCTTTGACTCCTTCTTTGTTTTGTGTGTGTGTGTGTGTGTGTGTGTGTGTGTGTGTGAGTCTGTGAGTGGATGTCATGTGTATACAGATGCCTATGGAGGCCAGAATCGGGAACTGAACCTCCTGGAGTTGGAGTTACAGGCAGTTGTGAGCCATGAGCTATGATGTGGGTGCTGGGGATGGAACTTGGGTACTCTTCAAAAGCAGCAAGAACTCTCAACAGCTGAGCCATCTCGCCAGCCCAACATCTACTTCTTGCTAACATGAAAGGCGAAGAGGTGCCAGCTTTGTGTTGCAGCTTCATCAAGAAGAAGTTAGAAGATGTAATATCCTGTAACCACAGGACTCTGAACTTTAAAAACCACAGACTCTAGCCAGTAGGCTATGGTGAAGATGCTATACTAAAAGCAGGGTAAGAGTGACACAGGCATGTTTCTCTGAGCTCCTAACTGAAAGCCTGCTGACATTCCATTCTAAGGGAGCTGTTTTCTGAGCTAACCCCAGAGAGAAGCAGGTTTGACTCAGTAGTTATCAGGAGGAAACATCCACTTACTTCCACTGAATTTAAAAATTGAGAACTTGCAAACGTAAATGACCACCCCATCAGCCTCCATCATTTCCCAACATTACAGTTCCAACAGCCCAGGGCACAAAATTATCTAGTAATGGTGGAGTGACTTCCTCTGGGAATGTGTCTAAAGCCAGATTTACTTATTTCTGTTTTATATGTGTTGCAGTGTTTTGCCTGCACATATGTGTGGGCACCATGTGTGTGTGGTACCTGCAGAGGACAGTAAAAGGCAAGGATCCTTCTGGAACTGGAGTTACCAATGGCTGTGACCTGGGAACTGAACCTGGGTCCTCTGAAAGAGCAGTAAGTGCTGTTAACCACTGAGCCATTTCTCTAGCTCAAATTTATTTAATTTTTTCACAATCTTGCAAAGTCACATTTCAAAACTTAATAAGTTAAAAATATATATTATATATACATATAGCTCCTAGATTTTCAGGCTATAAACCCCAAAAAGGCAATCTCACCAAAATTAAAAAAAAAAAAAAAAAAAAAAGAAAAAGAAAAAAGAAACCTGAATCTCTGCTTAATTTCCCTTTCCAATAGGCCCAGTGCTAGCACGCAAACATCAAGATAAAAACTACCGCACTCACAGATAGTAGCTCTTTCAGCAACTTAAATAGCAGGGTATGTCTGTGTATCTGTCCTGTGCCTTCCCCTTGTTTCCTGAAACTATCCAAGGAGGGTCCCATTCCTTATGCCACAGATGGATTTAGGAATGGGGAGGATGAGACCTGGAAAGCTAATGAGGGCAGATAGTAGGGCTCCAAGGCTCCAGACTATTTTTGAACAGCCCTTACCAGTTCCTTGGTTCCCTGACCTGTGCTATGGGCATCTTAACATCTTCCTGCTAATGGCTGTGCCTTCCTCCCAACCATCATCTCTAATGACACCTGCAAGAGAGGGATTAGCCTTGGCAAATGTGACAGGCCTTTGGTCTGAGGAATTGGTAGAATGAACACAACAGAGCAAAGATGCAAAGGACAGAAGGCCCTGGATAGCTTCTCCTTGTGTGGTGACGTGACAGGGAGACACTGTTTGTGTCTTCCAGCAGATCAGCAGCAGGAATGACCATGCTGCCACTGCCTAGAGCCATGGCCACACCCTCTCGTTGGGCTACTTCACAGACAGGGAGGACCAGGGTCACAGGGTATCCCACCTCCCTCATAAATGGCTACCCCTAAAAGTATTCCATGCATCTACTATCTGTTCCTTGGCACCCATTAGAAGACCAGTTCCCAGGGAAAACAGGTCATCTGAAAATCACTCAAGAGCTCCTCAGGATGGACTGTGGCATTGGATCCCAACAGTCTGCACTGTGGAAAAAGAAGAGGCTGCAGTACTGGAACTCCAGATTCCCAGGTAATACAGCAAATGTGGCCCTGGCCCAGGAGCAACAATGTCCAGAGAACAGTTGTTGGTGAGGAGCCAGGCATAATGGGGTCACAGGCAGAAAATGACCTGATTGCAGTTGAGGGCTGTGTGGACCGGACTGGGAACACCCGACAAAGGCTTGCAAGCCAATGGGGGAGATTGATTGAAAAGCTCTGAGGAGTTCTCTCTTTAGAAGGAAGGCAGTACACAAGGAACAGCAGGAGTCCCAACATGCACTTCTGTGTACAGGATAATATGAATTTAGCTACTTGCTATGGTAAAGGAAGCAGGCAAAATATAATTAAAATGTATGCAAACATAATTTTTGCTTTCTCATTTATTTATTTAGAGATGGTTTCTCTAAATAGTTTTGTCTGCCCTGGAACTTGGTATGTGGGCCAAGCTGATCTCAAAGCCTGTCCTGACTTCTAAGTGGTGCTAGGATTAAAGGTGTGTACCCAGCCATAGCTTTTCTCTCTTTTTCCTTTCTCTATCTCTTCTTCCTCCCTCCCTTCCTTTTCCCCCCTCATCTTTCCACTGGAGAAAGTGCAATATTTTGCCACAATATGGTACAGCCCTTCAGTAGGAATCCATGCTTGCCGTGGGCATTGTCAGTCTGTAAGGGAAAAAAAATGCTCTAGTCTTGCTTAAATCTGAAGTTGCCTCCAAATTGAGTCTGGTTTCACAGCCATGTCCTGGGCTGAGTGAGGATTTGCCATGAGAAGGAAGCATTTGCCCTGAGGTCCTTAAAGATCTGTGCTGATTAGTAAGGAGTTCCGAGAGTGAAAGGTAGTTGTGGCTCTCAGCATACACTGGCGCCATCTCAGCCCCCAATGTTTAAACACATATGTAAATGTAGCTACCACCTCTTCCTATACCCCACAACTGGCCTTCCCTTTCCTCCTCTCCAGTGTGTGGCTCACACTCTGAACCCACAACAGTATTTGTTCAGGGATGAACCACAAATCACAAGTAAAAATAAACTATCAACTAGGGATAATCCCATTACCCCAAACTCCAAACTGTTTTGACTCTTTGTGGGATGTTTTTGGCTGTTTGGATTTTTGAAATGTGTTTTCTCAAGTAAAACATTCAGAGTGGATTTGAAGTAGAGGGAAAGTCAATGGTTGGAAACCCTATGAGCATGTGTTCTAAAGCTTTAAATAAAAATCACTTTACTGTGCCAGGAAGTGAGGTGGACAAACCATCTGGAAGAAGATGACTGAGAACAAAACACAGCCAATAGGAAAGAACTGCTCTCCAGCACGTTCTGCACAGGTGGGTAGATGGTGAAAATCGGAGTGGTTTCTCGTTCTTTCTCTTTCCCTGAGTCTCAGTATGAGGCAGTTCTCCACTTGCCAGGGAGACAGAGCAGCACTCCTCACCAGCTCTTCGGGTTGGCCAGGCTCACCCTCTGCTTCCCAGCACAGGTGGGTACTACTGTAAGGACTCAGGAATGGTGCTGACAACATGGGTCGTCTCTGTGGCTGCTGGAGGGGAACCAAAGAAGGTGTTGGTTTGGTTCCTCTGATGATCTCGGAGATAAGGAGGAACGGAGGAGCTTTTGATGTGGAGGATCCTGGTGTCCATCACCTGGCAGTCAATCTGCATCATCACTTCATAGTCCTGCCCATTGATAACGTTATCTGCAGAGCAGACACAGGGTTAGACACAGTCAACGGGAAGTGAGCCGTCACTACACTTCAAGGGTGGCAGGAGCTTTATCAGTCTCTATGCAGAGCTATAGCTGGCCTAGCTGCCAGTATGCTCTTTCCTTTCCTAAGTCCCAGTTCTCCAAGGGTCTTCATTGATTCAGGAAGGGCGTGCCCTTCCCTCCTGTGGAGACCAGTACACAAGACAGCTAGCGAGGATGGAGAAAACACATCATCCTAACAAGGAAGACACAGGAAGGCCCTTATATCTTTCATTTCATGGCACTCCTTATTTTAAGAATTATTTACTTTTTGTCCTTTAGTTGTTCACTTGTACCTCCCCTGGAAAGGCTGCTGGACTACTCACAATATTTTCTCTACTATGCCTCAACCCTCAAATCACATTGTTTCTCATTCTTACTTTACTGGCCCTGTCCCCTCCCCATTTCACTATTTACATACTCATACCTTCAAGTCCAAAAAACAATAAACTACATATTCCCCAACAAGTACCCTAGCACCACTGTTGCTAAACCTAACTAGGAACACCAGTGATATTTACAGTGAGCATGACCCAAACTCCCAAGAATGCTGGGATGTCTTCAGAAGACCAAAACTAGGAACTAGAAATCCATGGGCAGAAGGAGGCAGTTAAAGCCTAAGGGCAGAGACTATTTACTCAATAAAATTATAGCAGAAAATATCCAAGCCCACAGAAGGAAATGAACATCCAAATACACAAGTATTTAGATTGCATCCATAGGCAACAATCAGGTAGATGAACACATGCTGCTGCTCAGCTCCTAATTTCCATTTTCCCAGTATAGAAGCCCATCCACGGAACAGCCCCATCCATTTAGTAAGTGTATCATCTACCTCTATTAAAGCCATCAAGAAACCTTCCACAGCCATGTGCAAAGGCCCATCTCCCAGGTAATTCTAGATTCTGTCAAGTTGACAACACTAACTGTTACAGATGTCTAAAGTGCAAAGTGAAGAAATATTAAAAGGTATGAGGGGAAAATGTTGATTCATACACAAATGAGACATTTCAGAATAACATCAGATTTCTTGTTGGCAACCATAAAAGCCAAGAATGCATGGAATGGTATACTTCAAACTCTAATCATAAATAACTGTCAAACAAGAACATTATACCAACAAGTTATTTCTTTACAGTTCCAGATAATCACAAACTAAGGCAATCAATGACAACCAAGCCAGCATTGCAGAAAACACTTACAGGGATACTACACAGAAAAAGGAGAAAGAGTCTTGTCCACGAAGGCAAAGGAGAGCTGAGAAGGAATTCATTATGAACAGCACAGGAAAACAGCAAATCCCTAATACTAACAGGAGGAAGAAGATAACTATCAGTAATTCAAAAAACCAGAAAAAAAAAAAAAAAAAAAAACAAAAAAAACAGCGTTTGTTGGTTGGTGCCAGAACAATCACCAAAACAACCAATGAAAATTGCAAGTCCTGGACCTGGAGAGTTGGCTCAGTGTTAAGAAAATGGCAAGTCCCTCTCTATAATAACCTTAAAAGCAATGACTTCAACAAACCATTGAAATAAAAAGATTGACTGGATGAAAAAACAAACTTCATTATTTCTTGTCTCTAAGAAACATAACTAGGAGGGCCCAGCACAATGATGAGCAGTACATGCTGGAAAGATAGGAGAGGAGAGAAGCTAGGTGGCTGGTACGCTACAAAGAGAGGTAGAACTGGAGGTGTGATGGTGGTGAGAAAGAGCCTGATGGGAGAGGCCTATGCTGCCACCTGAGGAGCCAGCAGTGGTGTGGGCAAGGGTTGACTACTGACGGTGTAGCAGAAACCAGAGGCCTTGGACCAGACCAATGACTCACTGCAATAAACATATGCAAGTAAAGCTGTTTGGGCAAAAGGATCTACTTTGTGACACACCGCAGCTTCAAATGCCACTATGATGAATGACAAAGTATGTGATGACAAAGTGGCACATGCACAGCGGAGATGCAATAGCTGTGACAGGTATGAGAGAAGTCTGTGGTTGACAGAGGAACAGGCCATTGCCTAGAGGGGCTGGCAAGATGTTTTTCTTGTTGTTTTGTTTCTTCAATTTTAATTTTTTATTTTCTTTTGGCAGGAAGGTTACAAAGGTGAATGGTGGCTATGGAAGGACTGGGAATTGAGTAGGATTAGGGTGCATGATGTGAAATTCACATAGAATCCATAAAAAAAAATGTTGTTTAAAAAAAAGAGATGGAAAACACCAAAGGAAGGAAGGAAGGAAGGAAGGAAGGAAGGAAGGAAGGAAGATAACTCACTGGCAAAATTATCCCAAACTAAGAGTCAAAGCATGGAATCAACCTTTCCAGCAAGTATCAACAGGCTGGCACAGCTGATAAAGTAGACGTCAAACAAAACCTAATCAGAAGAACAAGGCTAGGACATATGAACAAAGGGAACACATTTGAAGGTCATACACTAGGATAAAGATGATTTTATTTTAGGAATGCAAAGTTGGGCCAACATATGCAAATCAATAAATGTAACAGAACATGTAAATAGACTTAAAGACAGAAATGAATTAACCATTTCAATACACACAGAAAAGGCACCTCACAAAAGTTTTATATGTCTTCATGACAGAAGGAACATATAATATAAAGGCAATATAGAGCAACCCTACAGCCAGCTTTACATTAAACAAAGGAAGCATCATTTCCTCTAAAATCTGGAATGATACATGGGTGCTGTCTTTCTCCATTCATTCAATAGAATGCTCAAAGTCTTAGCAAGCGCACTAAGAAAAGAAATGAAAGGGACATAAACAGCAAAGTGAGAGCTCATATGACCCTATTTCAGGTGACCATTCTGTACATAAAAGATACTCAAGGTACAGTGAGGACTGACAAGACTCTGAGATCTGTGTTTTCAGCAAAGTAGTAGGATGCACAATCAATATGCCAAAACCACTAGTTTCCCTATATTCCAACAAATTAAGAATAATTATTCAATTCAAAATGGACTTAATTACAATAAGAAAATCCCTAGTAATAGGTCTAACCAAAAAGGTAAAAGGTCTTTACAATGAAAATTTTAAGGCACAAAAGAAACTAAAGAATATACTAGACAATAGACTTTCCATGTTCACTGATTAGCAGAATTTTATGAAAATGGCTATATTACCAAATATGGTCTACAGGTATACTATGATTAAAAAATTCAAACAACATTCTTTAAAGAACTAGAAAAAAATAAATTCATATGAAAACCACAAAGTAGCCTGAATAATTAAAATATTTCTAAGCAGAAGATAATGTTTGATATCATAGTATTTGACCTCATAGCATATACTGTCACAGACAAAAGTGGACCAGGACCACAGACCAATGGAACAGGATAGAGGACCCAGAAGTCAGCTCATGTAGCTACAGTCATCCTATTTTGACAAAGGTATTAAAAACACGCATTGGAAACAGGACAACCTTTTTGAAACCTTCTTCCGCATACAGAAAAATGAAATTTTATCCCCATATCTTAAGCAAACAAAAGGGTCAATTTAAAATGTAGCAAAGACCTTAATATAAAATATGACAAGTTGAAACTGCAAGAGGCAAAACACTTTAGGACAAGGACATAGGCAAGAACTTTCTGAAAGTATTCCAGCAGCATAAACATAATCCTAAGAATTGACAAACAGGATTATTTAAAATTGAAAAGCTCCCCCCACCCACCTTAGGGAGCCTGCAATGGTCATTATCACTTTCTGAGCTTCATCATGCTGCCCAAGGATAACAAGAAGAGGACTATTAGCTGACCAAAATTAGCCATAGAGGTTTTGCAGGACCAAGGACATTTAGAGAGACACAGGAAGCTGTAAGGAGGAGCTTAGAAAGATTCTTGGTCCTTTTGGATGGAGGAAGGAAAGAGAGAGGAAGTCACTATTCATTCTCCAATCATTCAGGTTCTTACCCCTTATCTGATTCCCAAGTCTTTACTAATAAAGAATAATTAGATAAATGCTTCACCTAATGTGGCTGCTGGAAACCAAACTCCAGTCCTCTGGAAAAGCAGCATGTGCTCTTAGCCACTGAGTCATCTCTGCAGCCTCTACTACCTTGAGTTTGAAATACTCAGATACGTACTATACTCCCTCCTTGCTTCCTAAAAGGATGAAAGTCTTATACTTCAGGGTCAGGGCGAAATTACTCCCTCATTTGTAATCCTGGGTGGTCATTTTCCAATGTGTAGTAAATGAAATGATGAGAGAATTATAAACAGATAATATTTCTCAATCCCAGCTGAAAAATCATGGCACTCCACCAGAAGTTCTGAGAACTTGGAAGATTGTTCAGGAGTCAACGTGGCATCTGATTTTGCATGTTCATCTGTGAATCTGGAGCTGTGTTTCTGGTATAGCCTAGCTCATACAATCTTTCTATTACAATCATACAAAGCCAAACTGCAATTTTTAAATGTGAATACTTTTTTTAAGTGGCAAAGAGCTCAGATTAAAAGCAAAATTCTTGTCCTGTCCCATTATCCTTTCTTTGAACTTTTACACTAAGGATGGCAAACATTTCAGAAGAAAGCCCAATGTTTGACATTTGATCTCCAGTCTCCACTGTTATGTTTGGGGAAAGTGAGCCATAAAGCTAGCCACACGGGAAGGTGGGACAGCTCAAGAATCTAGTCTGGGTGTTTTCAAAGGGGGCCTAATATGCACACTTCAGAGAGTCTCTATGTTCTCTAAAATTATACAAAAAGTTATGTTTATATGTTTTAGAAAATAGAGCCTTTTAGTTTCTTAAGGGGGTAAAATATTTAAAGACACAACCAGATAAATTCACTAACCTATTCAGTTTATAGCATATGATACATTCCTTATATTTTCAGTCCAAGAAAAACTATCCCTGTACCATAACAGGTTAAGTCATTGCCTAAAACATTCTCATTGTTTCCCCTGACAGCTCTTGTAAGTCTTTTGAGTTACAACCGAAGCCACT